AACTACACAAATGAGTGTGTGGCTGGCAAATTTAATAAAACGAGTCAGTGTCGGTGTATAATCTGCAAACGTATGAACCGTGTGCAAAGATACACGTCCTTTAGATGCAGGCCTAACAAAGTACYATGTTAACTATGGARGGGGGGGCAAGACGAGGACCGGGATCCAAGATCGCTAATACCATAATTTAGGAGAGCGTAATGACGACAGACACCTCTGTACTGCACTAGGTGGCGGACTTACTCTGAGAGTCGCAGCTGCTTTTGTTCTGGGCGGCTGCGCGTCCGATGCAAACGTACAGGCAATTGGGACACGAGAACAAGACGAAGCCCAGACACCATGTTGCTATCCACATCTCCCGGACGGTGTGTTTGTACGATATGTGCGGGCGTTCACGACGCAGCGTGGCGTACCGTCGTTGTTGCACTGCCTAATGCCTTTCTGATTTCGATAACGATGGCGCGTTCATCGCATCCGCCGATTAGCGACCGACTGACGGCGCGGCGCGGGCGAGCACGTCATTATTCCTAATTCCTATTGCAATAGTCGTACGGCACACGACGACGCGGTCCGCGCAGCGCAAACGACGACGACGACAACGACGGACCGGCAATATGATGCATCAAGGAAATCGGGCGACGCGCGCTTATAACTATTACCTATCGCTGTTTACGATTGACGGCCGTACAGTCGTAATCGCTGGCGAACGTAGAACCTTATTATCATAGACAAATATTACAATAATTAATCTTAAACTATTGAACACTGTTCATGTAATATTATGATTTATAAATTATTATTAATAATAGTTATGGACACCGTCGTACACCACTGCACTGCCGCAGTGTTTACGATACCTTATCAGTTTATCAAGTATCAACGCCATCGCCGACGATGCCGCGGATCGTGGGTACTGCGCCGGCGCGGCGGGGGCAACGGTGATTTTACACTATCGCACGCATGCGCACGAGAAATGGCAAATAATATATTAGAATATATATATATATATTATACATAATGCTGCTCGCCGATGTAAAGTTAAGCGAATTTCAGCCATGGTTGAGCTCACGCTAGACAGGACGAGACGCATAATTTGCAATAGCGGGCACGCTCAGACTCGGCAGAGTTCAGACAACATTTTCTTTCTTTTTATTCCTATGAACAAGGGCGTTCAACAGTGTGACCAGAACAGGCTCACTAGTTACCACGCGAAGTCGAAGTGTATACATAATAATATAGTACTATTATGGTAGGCTTCGATTGTTTTAAGGGTTTCTCCTCTTCGCCTTTGAATAGTAATTCATGTATAATAGATGTTATCCATAAATCRAACATTCACGAAGAATATCGGTTTTTTGTATAATATCAAATTTGTAAAAATATAGTGGAATTATCTTTCATTTTTACATYACWTGACGATTGAATTTAGAAATAATTCATGAAATACATTTTTATTTTTTWATCAAGTTATTTTAGTCTCTTCGAAATCTTACTACAATACTACACTACATCACTATAAGCTTATTAAGAATTATATCTAATGAACATAATTCTTGTGTGCTTAGAAATTCATTATCTACATATTATGCTAAAATATTATGTACCTATTTTATAATACATTTTTAAACTGGTAATTAAAATTAGGGATCTAAATTCCAGTGTATATGGCGTGGGCACTATGTGTGTGCTATGCGTACCTATCTGGTTATTTATGGAGATATCAAGTTACCCAGTAACATTTTTTCATATTTAACTTAAATAGTTTGATAAATATGAATAAACATAGTCATTGATAATTTAGAACATTATAGAGTTAATGCATTTATCCATATTATCTGGATACGTGATTGAGCACCGACAATATTATTGTCAATTGCATAACATAGCGAACATTGGCAAATATACCATATTGTATATGGGTGCAATGTACTATGGATAAAGGGATTGAATTGAAATTAAAAAGTACTTAAATTCATAAATTACAATATCTTGACGTGATTAATGCTTAAAAAGTAAGCACGCTCATTCGTTTTTCTAAAATATACCCCTCAAACAACTCTTAAAAGGGAGTTCAAAAAAGTATTTGAGGCTATCGTGTTAAATTATATTTTGTTTCTATACATTTTGATAACCAACTTAATTTTATATTGCATGTTTATAAGAGGAAATTACTGAGTTCTAATTACTCTGTACCTATAGGTACAGAGAGATTCTCGGGTTAACACTATATATTTCTCGAAAATTAGTTTTTGGGAATAGTTTTTTTTATATCCTTTGATAATGATGGTATTATTTCGTTATAATAATAAAAATAATTTTTATTTCCACACTTATACACAAATATAATATTAAAGTTATAGATTTTACAGCTTATTAATTTTTAACGTTAGTAAAAGACGTGATGGCATAAAAACAATATTATATACGTACCTGTCCCAGTAATTTATAATTTTTTTTAATTCAGACTAATTAAATTATCTGTTTTTAATTTAAAAAAAGCAAAAACGAGTAAAAACTTGATTAAATAGAATAATGAAAACTACTAAAAGTAAAAATTCAAAAAGAACATCAAATTGATGTAAAATTATGATCATTTTGGAAGCAGCTACAAACAACATTGTCTCAAAACTTACCACTAAACATTTTTGAGTTTATTACATTTTTAATGTGCATTTAATTGTGCACATTACATAATACATATAGGTAAGTACTAGGTATACATAACCAAAATATTCAATAGTTTAACTGGAAACGTAAAAAATAACAACAAAATGTTTTCGTTTAAACTTTTCTGTTATATATTATTATTACTGTTAAGTGTTTTCTAAAAGTAATCATGTCATATTAACTATCTGTAGTTAGCTTTTTTCATCAATGGATCACGACCCTAATTTGGGCCACGAAAAGTCTAATTTTTTTAAATAATAATCAATTCATTGAATATATACTAGTGATCCCAAACTTAAATGAACGTTTATTGAAACTTTTTTAGAAGTGTTTTGGACACAATAATGCGCAGAAARTTACGGAAAACTTGCAGCTAAAGACTTTTTCAAATTTTTTTTCTTTTTCCATGACCAACAAAGTTTTCACAAAAACAGAGAGTCGTAAGTCAAAAATTTTGAAGACCATTATTGGTGCCATATTCTATAATATATGTATACCACAAATTTTATCACATTTCAAATTTATCGAAATGATTATTGTGTATGTGTGACGTGTGTATTGCATTTATTTAAGAGGATGACGCTAGTATAATATGTACCTATTTTGTWTTTTTTCTTTTTGTTTCTGTCTTACAAGTGCGTAACATGAAAAATTTTCGCTCGGAAGATCACGTTTAACCTCATTAATTAAAAAATTAGAGTTAATCGACCTATTATGAAACTTGGTGGTAAGAAAATTATCTGTGTTTGTAT